CCAGTACAGTAAAAGGCAGTTTAGGGAATTGCTAAGAACTTCAGAGGGTGGCCGCAGCTGGTTGTGTGCATAAATGTAGAAACCAGCACAGCACTCCAGGGAGAGCAAGTCCAGAATGGAGAGTCCCGGGAAAAGGTAACTTCTAGTCATTTCAGTGAAGTCATTCTCTATGCAAGAAGTCCCCATAGGTGATTTTAAAAAGTTCCAAAGTGCATAAAGGGCCACAGTGGTTTATAAGGGGCTTTTCAGGAGCTTTCTAAATTTCCTTGGAAATTAGATGTATTGGCCCCATTAAAAAAAAAATTTGTTTGTAGTGCCAGTTACTCAGGAGGCTGAGGTGAGAGGAGAGGGTCATTTAAAGCCTACTAGTTTGAAAATAGGATGGGCCACATAGAAAGGTCCTATCAAAATACTTAATTAACTAAAGAAAAAACTGTAAAATAATTTTTGTTAACCATTTTCTAAATCTTTTTGATCATGTTTGAACTGGACAACTAATTATACTTTTTTGGAAACATTCCACCCCTTCCTCCCTTAGACAAAGTAACTATGTGCTTAACTATGGGCAGTTAAGTAGGCCAAGAGTTTTTGGAAATTTTCCGATTTCATTCACTCCCACGCGATTTTTCACTGGTAAAGAAGTTAAGGCTTCATTGTCAGAAAAAAAAAAAAAAATGTTAGTGTGTTTCCCTAAACACAAGCTAAGCTAAACAACAGGGCTGCCTGCAAGGGAAATGGTCTCCTTTGGGTGGAATTGAAACCCCAGTGAGAGTTAGGAGTGGGGTATAAGCAAGAACATTCAGAGCCTTCACCCTTGTCACTCAAGGCCCTGGCACAGAAACATAACTTGATCTTGAACCACATAATGATCAGAAGTCTTCACAGTGGTAATGAGAATTAATGAGAGACTATATGAAATTTGAGCTCCAAAGCAGACCCTTTTTTTTTTTTTCTTGGTTCTTTTTGAGACAGGATCTCACCATGTAGTTCAAGCTGGCCTCAAGCTCACAGTGATCCTCCTGCCTCAGCCTAAGAGCTGGGATTACAGGCATGTACTGCCACACCCAGCATTAGACTGTTTTAATTTTTGGGTGAAAGGTATATTTTGAGGTAGAAGTTATAAACTATTATAAAAAGTCTCGTTCAGATTCTAAGTCCTTTTTGCAATTTTTCCCCCCTCGGAGTCTATAGAGTTAGCCTATAATCAAGATCCAGAGGCCTGAGGTTAAGTGAATGTTTGTATTTCCTGTGTAAATAAACTCAGATTTTTCACTACCTTAGTCTAACTCTTGTCTTGGCTCTTTCTGAGTGCCTACAGGGAACCAGTGACACCATAGACTGCGAGGTAGGCAGCTTTCCATCCAGCATCCTTTCAGCAATAGTGTTACCAGAAATTGTCTCAGCCCTGAAAAGTGTTAGTCATTAAGCTTGTCAGAGACAAAAGTAGGTAATAATGCTCACTAAATCGGGTGAAGAAATAGCCACCAGTCCTGCTACAAAGCTTACTAGAGTCTCAAGTGCTTTTGGATTACCCAGGGACTCTTTGGAGCTTTGACATTCAGCTCTTAGATTTCTGACATTTGCTAGCCAGGTGTAGCACTCGCATCTGAAGGAAATTCAGGTGAAGAAACTTCCTGTTTTCCTCAAGCTGAGCTGAGTACTGTACTCCAGGCCTCCAAGCTCCCCACGCTTGAGCAAGGCTACTAATTGGCTTGGCTATAAAATAGGAGTCAGCAATTAAAAAGTAGCAGTATAAAAGCAAGGGGATTGATGTGAGTTGACCCTCCAGTCTCACAACCAGAAAGGTTCACACCACTCTGAGTACTATATACAAAGGCCTCTTCAAAAGGAAGTGAGCGTGGATTGATGTCTTTGTAGTTTTTAGGAGGCATTTGTGGACTGTTAAAACTGATGATCTCTGATTTAATGATGGTTTGACTTAAGATTTTTCTTCTTTATGATGATGCAAAAGTGTACCCATACATTCTGTTTTTTACTTACAGTATTTAAGAAATTGTTAAGTATAAGATATTTAACATTTTATCATAAAATAGGCTTTCAGTTAGATAAATGTCCTGAGCACATTTAAGATAAATGAGGCTAAATTACGGAGTTCAGTTATTTAGGTTAACTACATTTTTTATTACAGTATTTCCAAGCTATGATGGGTTTTTCATGTAAGTCAAGGAGCCTCTTATTGATTCAGGCCTGAAAGCCAGATCTAGGAAACTGGATGGGTCCTCAAATGTAAAGGGGGCAGGGTAGAATAAAGCAAGGGAGACAGGTGGTGTGAATCCAGTCTCTGTGGGCAGCAAGCCCATGGTATGACCTTGTCACAAACAAGGACTTATACATATATGTATGTATATGTATAGTTGCACTCTCATTAGTAGGTTTAAGGGACTATTGGTAATCACCATATAAGGCTGGTTACTCTATCTGAATTTATTTATTAGGGAGTACATGTCTTATTCAGAAGTGCCTATGACTAGTTCCCTGATGATTTATACTAAAGAATTGTTAGCTAGTCCCAAGAGCATTCCAGAAAAAAAATACATCATAACTGAAAACTATCTAGTTACTTTTGGTATTCAAAGAAAGGCAGGGCATTAGTTGAACAGCAAAGGTATTTGGGGAAATGGAGGCCTGGAAAATGTGCTTGACTTCTGCCATATTTAATTCTAGTGCTTGAACATAGTACTTTTCTAGTCAATTTTCAGTATCAGAGCCTTAGAGGGATCAGTTGGGGAAGTTACATGTGAAGAGGGGGACATCTGTAGGGAGCATACTTATCTCTTGAGTCCTTGTCATTAAGCCTAGTGCTTAATGCTTTCCTGCTTGCCGTAGCCTCCTAGAAACTCCAGACTCTAACCCCCTCCTGTCTTTGCTCCCCAACACTGTCCTTTAAAGGTGATCTAACCTTCCATCACATTTTCTGCCTCTTTTGGCTCTATTAACTTTGTGGTTTTTTGTTTGTTTCTAGATTTGTTTGGGGGCGAGGGGCTTGCTGAGATTGAACCAAGGGCCTTCACATTGAGCTACATTTCCAGCCATTTTTTATTTTTTATTTTGAGTCACTTAGTTATCCAGGCTGGGCTTGAATTTGCATTTCTCTTGCCTCAACTTCTCAGAGTGCTGGGATTACGAAACTGCACTGCCAGGCTAACTTTGTTGAAGTATTCTTAGTGATCTTTGATGTCTGGTGTTGGCTGTATGAGAAACTCCAGTAAGAAATAGTTGTGTTTAAGGTAAAGAAGAGTGCCAAATGTCTCTTAACACTTCATTTATATTCCACCGACATGATTTTTGTCTTGTCTCCATACCACCTTTACTATTAGTAAAGTAATACTCTTCTTTAAATTGAATCAGTTTTTTGTTTTTTGCTTTTGTTTTTTTTAGTACTGGAGATCGAACTCTGGTCTATGCATGAGGCAGGCGGGAGCACCACTGAGCTAAATCCCTGGCCCTAAATTGAACCAATTTTTTAAAAATCCTAAACTTTATTTAGAAAGGAAACTGCATCCTTGTCTTAAACAGAAAATTACTATATCACCTGTCACAAATAGATGGTAAATATAAAAGGTTAAAATGAAGTTGTTTGTTCATGCTTCCAAAATCATGCCATGTATTGCACCTGTGGAAATACTGCCTTCGCCCAAAGGTATGACTCACTAATAGTGAGCAGGCAGCAGTATGTAAGTGGTAGGGATGATTAGGGAAGGGAGGCCTTTGAAGGGACCCCTTGAATCCTGTCCTAGAACTCATTGGCTTTCTAATACTAGGAAGGCCACAGAATCTAGAACCTAAAAAGACATGAATGAGATGCAGAATTACTAGTAAGTAACTAGTAAGATACAAAGTTTGCCAGGAGACCTAAGTGGTAGTGAGGTTGTAGTATATACTATATTAAAGTCAAGGGCCTGGCTTCATTGGTGCTGTAATATATTGCTCTTTCTTTGCAGATGTGCTCTTGGAAAACTTTTTTTTTGGAGGCTGGTGGGATGTCATTTTTAAAAAACTCATCAGTTCCCCCAACTACTTCGAGCCCTTTGTCTTTCACATGTAGAGGACTATGTTTGTGGATGTTATTAATAACAAGAATATGAAGTTGTCTCTAGCATTTCTTTTTTCCAGCTATTGTTGTCCATAAAGCCTATGCCTTTAAAAATTCTATGAAAACAGAAGAAAGAGGGAGGAGGAGCTGCCTGGGGGTTGTATGATCTCTTAGTGTGCTGCCCTAGGTAGGGAGGAGTGGTACTTGGTGCTACTGTTGTACATTATAAATTGCCTGCAATGTTAACTAGGCTGTGGCTCCCTGCAAGGGTCAGGAGAGTGTGCTTTCATGGTGTAGCAAGGCTTGGTAATCATCAGGAACCAGGAGTGCTTAGTTAAATTGCTAGTGCATTAAGCCATAGGGGCGTTTTTCTAAGCCAACAAGATTTTAACTTTCCCACAAAGCCTAATGTAATGCTCTGGGAGGAGGCAGGCAGAACCTGCCTTTCAGGGGCTGTGCTAGTGGGGGACTGGGCCTGGGAAGTGGCCTAGTTGGACTTGTTGGGAGGGATGGCCTGTCCCTTTCTAGTGTGTCCTCTCAACTTGGCAGGGGACAGAGTTCCCTTTTCTCTCATGGCCCTAACCTTTCCTTTTATTTCCCCAACTCACTTTCTGTGTTAACAGCCTTCTTCCCTTTTTCATTCCCTTCTGTTCACTGCTGCCCTCTCTTTTGACCTTTTCTCTTGCTGGGCCTCATTTTCTCTCCATTCTCACTTTGAGGGCAGACTGTTTGAAGTTTCAGACTTACAGTGCTGCCATGTATGTCCCAGTGACTAGATGTAATTCAGAGGCTGCAGCCTACTTTCCGAGGAGGAGTCAACCTTTGCTTCTCCACTGACTTTTCAGTGATGGGCTGCTGATCAGAGCGCCACACTGAGTGGGTGAGTCTAGGCATGCCCCTCCCCTGGGGCCCAGCAGCATGTTGGGACATCACACACACATGCACACACGTGGGCACACGCATGCATGTGTATGGATTTACTGCTGGGAGCTGTCAGACAAGGCCCTGCAGCCCACCCTTGGAGACTCTTCCTGAAGCTGAAGATGAAAGAGGGTCTGCATTCAGGCAGTCCTCTGGGTTTTGCAGAGGACCTCTAACATTGTATAACTCCTTGCATCCTCTGGACCCACTGAAGTGAGTTTTGTCTTCATAGCTAAACTACCTTCGACATACCTATGAAATCTGAGGAACTTCCAGCTTTTTCTGATGCATAACAGATTAATGAAAATGTTTTTATTTTCATATTTTTCATTAAGCCTAATCTGATGTTAAGTTCATTCTTTTTTTTTGGTACTGGGGATCGAACTTGGGTCCTTGCACTTGCAAGGCAGGCCACCAAACTGCTGAGCTAAATCCCCGGCCCTAAAATTCATTCTTAACATGTGGTTATTTCATAAATATTGTTGAATGATTGCTTACCATTGTTATCTGACATATATAAATAAAGCTAGATGAATCCTTTCAAAAGAAGTAATAAGTAAAGAAAATAAAGGTGCAATGATGCTGAAAATCCACTCTTAGCAGTATGCGCTGTCTTTACCCTTATTCATGCTATACTGTTCCATCCCTCAAATGTTCTGCACTTTTGCACATTGCTGCCTGTGATGGAAGCACGAAGATTGAAATAATCTGAATTTTAACATAACTCTCAATGTGGTTATCATTTTCTTCTAGAAGCTGCCTCTTACCTTCCCTAAGTCATTTGTTTACTTTTGGGGCTCCCAGGACTATACTTCTGTCTCAGCTTGGTTTTGTGATTCCTGATGTTATTGTCTCTCTCTGAAGAGGAACTGTAGTACCTGGAACCACTAATACTTATAGTTGATATTCCTGGAAATTTTCATGAAATGAGTACATAACTGTGAATGAAATAAACTAATATGTCAATGCTAAAATTTAAAGGAAACTATAAAAAAGAGACGAATATGATATGGTAACACAAAGCCAGTATTTCAAAAGCAATTTTTAACCTAACCACATTGGAAATTATAAGTCTGAGATTCAAAAAAAATTGAGGAGCCTAGAATATAAAACAATCTATTTATAAAGATTCTATTTTAAGGCCAGTGAAAAGAGGCCATTTTAGGTCTCTGGGTTTTTAACACATTCATGACAAGACCATAATTCCTATGTCTCACTGCCAGGCAGCTTGAACCTCTAATTTTATTAGCAAAAAGACCCATAAACATGATTAGATCCATTTGTATTACCAGTGGACAAGCCACCCAATGAGACAGTCGTGCATGTACCACCAGTGGTTCAAACCAGCAAGAATGTGTTAAAATTTTAAAAAATTGTTAGTACATGTTTGCAGTAAATGTATACATAACACATTTTAATTCTTTACTTTTCCTTCTGCTCTCCTCTCCTCATCTTTTGGTCCCCTACCCATTTGCAAAAGATAGACTACATCATGTAGTGACCTGGTATCATCTTAGTTTGTATAAATATATTCTATGTTGCTTGAACACAGGTAAATTCTCTAATGATACAGTTCTCAGAACACATCCCTGTGATTAAGTGAGGAATGACTGTATACCTGAAAGTAGAGTTCCTGGGTCATAAGGTAAATCCTGCCAAATATCATATGCATTTTTCTAAAACCTTGTTTTAGCTTTTATTTATAGTCTGTGATACAGTGAGGATTATTTTGTGTATAAACATAGGGATGAAAGCTAAGCCCTCTCCGCAAGGATATATAATTAATCCAGACCTTTTTTTTTTCTTGGTACTGGGAATTGAACTCAGGGCCTCATACTTGCAGGGCCTGGAGCTTGCAGGGCTTGCAAGGCTCTTGCAGGGCCATTGAGCTACATCCTGGCCCTCCAGACTATTTTTTTTTAATACTACCTTTTATTTTCTGAACTGCACTGGTGCCTTTCTATTAAATTAGATGATTGTACTGTGTGGGTTTGCTTTTAGGGCTCTTCTTTCTGTTATATTAATCTATCAGTATTTGTTTTAAAGAAAGTTGGGATCAGGCTGACTATATATAAAATAAAATATAAGTCTGAGGTATAAAATTTGTGGTACTGAGGATTAAACCTTGGGCCTCATACTGAGCTACATCCCTAGCCCTTTTTATTTGTTATGATTTTTGCTTTGTTTTATTTTGTTTGAGATAGGGTCTTGCTAAATTGCTCAGGCTGGCCTTAAACTTGAAATTCTCCTGCCTTGCTTTCCTAGTAGCTGGAATTACAAGTGTGTGGTGCTGAACTTGCTGCTTTAAAAGTTTTCTTATGGGGCCAGGGATTTAGCTCAGTGGTTCTGCCACCTGTCTTGCAAGCACAAGGTCCCAAGTTTGAGCTCCCAGTACCAAATAAACAAATGAATGTTTTCTTATATAACATTACATTGTACTTCAAAGCATTGTTTGTTTGTTACCAGGGATCAAACTCAGGACCTTGTACTTGCAAGGCACACTCGGTGCCTCTGAGCTAAACCTCCAGCCCCTCAAAGCATAAATTTAAAACAAAGGCTAGGGGTATAGCTCAGTGGTACAACACTTGCTTATTTGTAGGTATGAGATCTTGGGTTTGATCCCTAGCGACACACACACACACGCATGCAGAGAACTCCATATAACTATTACATAGATACAACATAATTTAACTTAAAAAAATTTTTTTAAATGCAAGGTTCTGAGTTCAATCCCTGATATCAAAAAAATTTTTTTCTGGATATGTAGGGTTTTTTTTCCTGTTTTATTTCGGTCTTTTTTTGTTAGGGGCTTCAGTGTCTGATCTTTATTCATTCATTTATGTATGAAGCAATAAATGTCAATTGGAAAGTCTGCACACGTGAGCTTTACTTTGGGAGATTAGATGAGTCATTTCTTTGGTATCTTCCCAAGCATCAATAAATAAACATATATATATATATATATATATAATTTTCTTCTTTGAAACTGTGTAGTTTTTCCACAAGAAAATTCTCCACTTTCCTGCTATCAGAATCAGTGCCAGTCTGTCTACCAGGTAGATTACAATTTAACACTGCTTTTCAAAGTTGTTATTATTTTTTTATTTCCTGGATCTCTGCTTCGATGAGGTCTTTTTTTATAGTGTCTTATCTCCATTAACTACTTTCCCAAAGAATAGATTCTGCTTCTCATTGTATGGTTGAATGACTGCTAATCCTGTGACTTTGAGCATGTCTTGAATGGGATCGCGAGATAGCAGTGTTCGATAGTCTATTAATGGCCCTTGGCTGCTGTGCTATTTGAGCTGTCCCTTTCAAAGCTCTGACTTGTCTTTAATGCCACATTTTCCACTGCTCACATTTTCTTTAATGTAATGCTCCACTATCATTGGGTTTGCTTTTTACCTGACCTAATTTGTAAGGGAAAATTCTCATGTTACAAAGTTCAGTATCATGCCTTAAATTTAAAACTTGTTTATATTTTGGTTTTGTTATATAGTTTACACTAGATTGCATCAGTGTTAAAAAATCTTTTTTACTTTGGTTTATCTCTCTACCAACTTGGGAATAATTGATTCACACTGGGTGAAGTCCTGCTTTTCTCATATCATCCCTAAGATCTTTGATCCAGCTCAGATGCTTTTTTTTTGTGACTTTTGCTATTCTCTTAGTTGGACTTTTTCCTGCTTAGAAGAAACTGAAAATAGAACCAGGTCTTTATTTGTGTAAGATGACTATCTTGGGAACTCAGGGAAGTAGTACATGTGAGAGGGGGACATGGTGGCTGGAGCACCTTTGGGGTTTATGCTTTTTATTAGTGCTCCTGTGAACAGTGGATGAGATCTTTCCCCTAGACATTACACAATTCCTCAGACAGGAGAAAAAATCACCTACTAAAAATAAGAGGGAGGCATGATTGAAGGGAAGGACACATACCCTTGAAAGAGAGCCACCCCCCACTTTTGGTACTGGGGATCGAACTCAGGCCCTTGTACTTGTAAGGCAGGCGGCAGAACCACTGAACAAAATCCCTGGCACTGAAAGAGAGTTTGAGGGCCCCAGGAAGAGAACTGCATATAATAATGAGGAATAGATGCAACATGTGGATCAAGAAAAGTTAGGATGTTCAGTGGTGGCACGCCCCTGTAATCCTGACAATCAGGAAGATAAGGCAGGAGGATCAGGAGTTTAAATTTAGGCTGGGCTACATAGTGAATCCTTGTCTCAAGACAAGAATAGAGAAAAAGTTTAAAACATGGAGGCCTGAAGTCCTAGTTTTAAACCCTTCATTTTTTTCTGTACTCACAGCTCACTATTCTTAGCACACTGTCTTTAGAGAAATGTAGGCCAAGACTTTGTGCAGAGACTGATCATTACTACAAAGTCTTGTCAGACTGAACAAGTTAAATCACATTTTTAATGAAATTAGGTTGTATACATGATTTTCAGGACAGAGTTCTACTTCTGTGATTTAGAAGTAAATAGTGGAATGGTTGTATGGGGGTTAATGAGACTGATACTGTGTTAATCAGGGATTACTAGAAGAAATGAAATGCAGATATGACCAGCATTTACCCCCAGATTCAGGTGATGGTGGTAGTTTTAGTCACCATGAACCTTTGATTAGGGTAAGGGGAAAGGCTTCCTTGAATGGGGTGCAGTGCCATGTTGGCAAAAACTATGGAGATGAGAGAAGGAAAAGAACTTTAGTTTTTTTGTTTGTTTGTTTTTTTGTGGTACTGAGGATTGAACTCAGGACCTTGCATTTGTGAGGCAGCTATGGTGCCACTGAGCTAAATCCCCAGCCCTTCTCGTTCTTTTTTTAGTCCCTGTTAACTGTAAGAGTCTCTAAAATGGGGGCTAGAATGCATCTGTGCTGAAAATAGAGACTCTCAAACTATCTTGATTCCATAATATAAACTTTCAATTTTTAATCTCTTCCTTCAAGAGATTCTCTCCACCCCTGCTGTCTCCTGTGAGGATGAAGCCCCTATCCCAACAGTCTGTTCACCACCGTTTTTCTAAAAATCATTTTCCTTTTGTATAGCTTCTCAACCACTTGCCCAAGGGAAGGAATTGAGCCATATTATTGAGCCTGTTCCCTAGTACTTAGCCCACTGTCAGGGCACTGAGTCAGTACAGCATAAGTGCATACTTGGTTAAATGTTACTCATAAGGGCTCATTAGTTTATCTTGCCATTGGTTCCCAGAACTGAAAACTTTATAGGAGTAGTTTGGGTTAGGTTGGACTTGGTCTTTGATTTATGAACAGTTAAAAATGATATGGAGTCCCATTTCTTTCCTTCTTTCTGCTGTGCCTTTCTGAAGTGCCCACTTCATTTTAAGGCTGACAGGGCTGTAGATTGGTTGTCAAGAATTCTGTGGGCCAAGCACGTCTTTTCTAAACTTTGTGTGTACCTCTTAAGATGAAAGAAAGAGGGCCAGGGATTCAGCTCAGTGCTGCCACTGCCTGCCTCATAAGCACAAGGTCCCAAGTTCCATCCCTGGTACCAAAAAAAAAAGGGGAGGGGAATGGAAGTGTTATGAGAGCTTTTTACTGATTGAACCATTTCAGAACCAATCCTAGTGGTCAGAGGATGACACTTGTGATTGGCTTAGTCCTAGATTCCTTGAATTAATCATAATGAAAAAGGAGAGGTAGTGACCTAGATTGGTTTATATAGACAAGGCTCACCCTGGAGCTGGGGTGTGATGAGCTACATGAAGAATGAATGCATACCTAACTGGAAATCTGATTACTGTTAGGAAGGGAAAATATGGATGTTACATGGGTAACCAACAAATTCCATCATTAATTTTCATGTAGATTTTTATAGAGAACCTTATGGCTATATTTTCATATAAAGTCACTTAGGAGTTTATTGACTGTATGCTATGAAAAAGACTGGTGAATTTATGTGAGTGTGAGACTTTTACTATGTAGTTGGGGATAGAAAGCACTGAAATAGGTAAAAAGTTAAAAATCAATAGAGGAGATGTGCAGCAGTATGATAGACATTATATTGAATGAGTCATATGTAGGATGCATTATTTGTATTTCCCAGGAATGGTTTATTTGCTTTTAATCTGGAAATCACTATGCTGGACACTGTGGGAATGACAAGTGGTAGAAACAAGATGTTGGCTCTCAAAGCTTCAAGTCCAGTCTAGAGAATCATTGACTGGCTTGGGGACTGGTAAACATAGCCTTCCTCACAGAAGCACACTGCTGAGGACTGGACCCTGTAAATATAAGTGAGGGTTTCTACTGAGCTCTGCAGAGTCCTAGAAGCCTGGATAGTTAGAGGAGATGCTCAGCATTCTCCATTGGCAGCTCTGCCCAGCTGCTCAGTGAAGTGGGTCTAGGGAGAGGAACCAGTTGACCCTGGTTCCCAAAGCAGTGCTTACAAACTGGATTGGTCACAGATATGTGTCTGTGAATATGTAGGTGTGCATGTGTGTAGTCCCATGTTACAATTAGCAGTACTCCTTGTCAGAAGTCCCCATTGTGACCCATCCCAGTTTATTGAAGAGTTTCTAGTGCTGGGTCAATTTTGACCAATTGGATTCATAGTTAGTACTATTAGATTGTCATTTTAAACTCTCCAGTCACATTTATGGAATATCGAGGAATTAAGAGAAACAAAATATCTTGTTATTCATTCAACATATCTATTAGGGGCCTGCCTTGAGCAGGCACAATGCAAGGCTCTAAGGACATAGTGGTGATCTAAAACTGTCGAGCAGAGGAGACAGACAATAGGTAAATAAGCAGATACATGAGATAATTGCCAATTGTGGTGATGATGAGAAAAAAATAAAATGGGTAAAGCTGGTGATTACAGGAGACTTAAGACACATTTAAGGCATTTTGCAAATGATCTCATGGGTTGGAAATTTTTTCCCTGATAATTTCCATAAGTTAACACATTCCTACCAGCTTGTACCACTGGTGATACACACATGACTATTCCATCAAGTGCTTTGGGACAGTCCCATCGGGTGGTACAGACCTCCCAGTGGGACAGTCACACATGTATAGCCCCATCATTAATGAGTTAAATGCAAATAATTTTCATCCTTTTTGTCTCCTGTGCGTGCCCTTTGCAGGTCTATGATGAACCCAGAGAACCCTCCACCATATCCAGGCCCAGGCCCAACAGCCCCATACCCACCTTATCCACAACCAGCAATGGGGCCTACAGGGGGGCCCTACCCACCTCCTCAGGGGTACCCCTACCAAGGATACCCACAGTATGGCTGGCAAGGTGGACCTCAAGAGCCTCCTAAGACCACAGGTGGGTGTCTGTGAATATGTAGATGTGTGCGTGTTTGTGTGTGTGTGTGTGTGTGTGTGTGTGTGTGTGTGTATGTAGTTCCATGTTACCAGAGAAAATGCGTGGTTTCTTTGGTAGAGAAGAACTATTTGGCTTGTGGTTAATATTACTGGCTGAGAGTGGCTTCCCAGTCAAGAGGCCCAAATCAGTTCTGCTGACTTCTTTCATCCTATCCCTCTGGGACTGATGACTTCCTGGCCAACAGGTTCTCAGAGCGCCACCCCCTACAGCATTGTGTAGGAGTGGGGAATACTAATTGTGTTCCTTATTTGGCAGCCAATTTTGCATTTCAGTTTTCACCTGTTGGGGTTATTTTACCTGTCAACTTGTTGACCCTCAAGTCATCCTTTTGCCCTGTTATGGGGACTGGTTTTCTTTACTAAATATTTTCATAATTTAACCTTCTAGTTAAGTTTTGGTCATCTTCTAAGTCTTTCTTATGTGCTAGAACAGTGCTACTCAGAGTTTAGTCTTGAGAAAAATGCCAGTCCAAAAACAGTACATGGTTACTGGATGATGAAGAGTATAGAAAGTAAGAGTAAACATTTAGAAACTTTGAGCAGTTTGACATTCCTGTGACATTCAAGCATATAACCTTGCTTTTTACAAAAGGTGAAAAATTAAAAATAAAATATCTTGAGAAGCACTGTGCTAGATGTCTTAGTGACTTTTATAACCCTTGGTTTTGTGCAGTAACTGGTCTCTTACATTTCTTTCAGCTTTTTAAAACAGCTAATTCTTATTAATTGCCTATTATTTGTTAATATTCTCCTGTGAACCTTTTATACATATACATTTAATCCTTGTAACAATCCAATGAACTTATCCCCATTTTACAGTGAAATAAATAAGGAATAATTATTAATACAAGGTCACTCAAGTAGAAGCAGCACATTCCAGATTAGAATTCTGATAGTTTGCGTATCAGTCAGCATTTCATTGCTATGACTACATACCTGAGAAAATCAATTTAAAGGAGGAAAGAAGAGTATATTTTAGCTCAAAGTTTCAGAGGTTTCTGTCCATGGTTGTCTGGTTCCATTGCCTGTAGGCCTGTGATGAGGCGGAAACATCATAGTGATAGAGTGTGGCAGGGGAAAGCTGCTCACTTCATGGCAGTTAAGAAGCAGAGAGTGAGGGAAAGAGATAGAGAGGAAGGGGCTAAGAAAAAGTTACAGTACTCAGTTGCTTTGAAACTCACTAAATTTGGTACTTGATGCATTTTGATATGAAAATTTTCACATTTATTTGGTACCAGATGCACAATGTCAGTGTCAATAGCCTTTGACTTACTACCTTTCCACCCAAAACAGTTTACTCAATACTCAATACTGTCAACACTTATATTTCCCAGGATCAGTTAATGATGAATATCAATGTATCACTGTACCTAAGGGCATGTTCCCATAACTCACTCCCTTCAAATAGGCCCCACCTCTTAATAGTCCATTCAACTATGCTGATCCATGGGTTAATCTGTTGTTGAGGTTAGCACTCACATACTCTAGTCATTCCTCTAAAGCACATCAGTAAGCAAATCTTCAACAAAATGATTGATTTCATAAAGGCAGTTGAAAGCTGTTCAACATTCTTTCCTACAGATAGACCCAGGAGTTACTCTTTCATTAGTGTGTGATTTAAAACTGCCTTGTCCCATTCTGTACTCAAACATGGAAGGTAATGTCAGATGGTCAAATTTTCCTCTCATCTTGGGTCTTGCATTTGTGAATGGGTCCCTTTGGGGGCGTAGGCTTGCTAAGGAATGTACCCTTTGGGGGAACCATTTTCTTCCTTATTCATGGGATTATTTGGGGATTTCCTATCAGAATCATGTATTCTTCTTTAGTGTATTTGAGCTCTGTTTGGAAATTTATGTCTCCCCCGACCTCCATACCAAGGATCGAACTCAGGACCATGTACTTGCCAGGCAGGCATGGTGCCACTGAGTGCCAGCCTGGAAATTTAAGTTTTTCCTCTTCAGGTTCTTTAGGCCCATCTACTGTTGCAGATTCTCCCTGCTAAAGTTCAAGTTTGCAGTCCTTGCTGTTAATGGCTACACAGGTGGAAATGGTTTCTTTTTAAAAGAAAGGATCTCTTTTAGCCTTTTTAAATGATGTCTGATAAATAGTAAAGGCTTAACAAATTGTGTCAGTAGGTAGGTAGAGAAGATGGCTATTCTAAACAGAACCTTCTTTGGTCGTCTGTTTATGATGCAGAGTTCTTTTTTCAGATACTGTAGCCAGAAAAACAAAACAGAACTTTCCATTGGTTTTGGGTAACCATGTGATTGGAAACAACAGATGCTCATGAGAGTAAGCTTTCCCAGAGGGCACACCTGCAGGTTATGTCAAGGATGTCCTGGACAGTTTTTAATAGTAATCACTGTAACAACTAGTGTTCTTGAGCACAGTGTTTGGAATTAGCCTTGTGTAATCCTCAGAACAACTTTGTAGCATCAGTCCCATGATACACAGTTAGAAGCTGAGGCTCAGCAAGATTGTGTTTCAATTGTTGATTGTATAATTCCAAAACTCTGGCTTAAAACAGCAGTGATTTATTTCTCATGATTATCTGTCTTAGCAGGGAGGTTCTTCTGCTTCACGTGATCTCTCCTAGGTCCAATTGGGTGTCACACTCAGCCCTTAATATTACAGCTCTGAACTTTGAGTGCTTGTGCCTCTTCAGCTCTTAGTATTACAGCTCCTGGTGGCTCCCAAACACCCTTCAGCTCCTGTGAACCCTGGGCTCGCAGCCCCTGTGATAGCTTTCTGGAGCTCTTCCATCAGCTTTCAATGCCTCTCTGAGGCTCTCTGTAGGTCATTTCAAGTCTCTGCATATCACTGCTGGTCTCCACCAATCTCCGCTGCTCTTAGCTCTTTCCTGTTCCACCACTCTCTGGAGCTCTTTAAGGGTAATAACCTTTAGTGTTACAGCTCTTTCTTAGAATCCACTTAGCTTGTTCTACCCAAGGTAAGAATCTTGAGTAGGCAATAGAATCACTGGAATGAAGTTTTTATTGGGTCCTGTGCTGCAGCACAGTGTGGAAGTGCATAAGGAGGAGCCCTCTGGGACTTAGCCCAGGACTGTGTGGGAATCCTGCATATGAGAGAAGAGCGGCCTATGCATGCGTAACTCCTTGTATTTTGCAGACCTACTTGGGGACTTTTGAAGTAATAACTGAAGTGGGTGGGGTCATTTGAAGACATTGCAGTCATCCAGAATAGTTGCAGGGCAGTCATCTGGGGTAGGTCCCTGTTTCAGGCTTGCTGTGGCCAAGGCAAGTATCTTCCAGAGCAGCCCTGGGGCATGTAGGACAACCTCAGCTGTGATGGTAACAGCTTTGCTGAACTGTGGGAGAAGCAGTGGCTCTGCTGAGTTTCTGTGAAAATGGCAGGGGCTGAAATTGCGTCTTTTGCTGCTGTGAGGAGAGACTCCAGGAGGGGTTGGAGTGTTGATCTTTTCTTATTGGGATTTGAGGCCCCCAGTTCCTCACTGATCCTTGCCTTGTCAAGTGCAGTCCTCCACAGCTCAGGGAGACAGCAGCAGTGGCCTAGAGCTGGGAGGGAGGCGGGTTGCACTGTCAGCCATGCTGGAGCTCCTGTCAGGGCTGCAGGACCAAGGATGAAGGCCACCCCGGGGAGTTGGGGGAAAAGGACCTGATGGCTGTCAGCCCGGTCCCTCTGGCTATCAGAGGGAAAAAGGAAGGATTGAGCTTCATTTTTTATCTTGCTTTCAACCATTCACATCTCTCCCATCTGCAAAATATGTCCACTCCCAAGACTACCAGACAAATGACCCAATAACTGCATTGGCTTAAAATCCATCATTTAAGTTGTTTATATGTAGATCAGATCTCTGATCTGCCATGCTGGTCCATGCACCCTACCTTTGTCTTCTCCTCCTTCACTCCCCACCCCTCGTTCCCACTCTGTATCACACATTTCTGGAGATCGGAATAAAGTAACATCTCCATGAAGCTTGTCTTTACCTATATGGCACACTCTTTTAGAATTTGACACTCCCATGTGCCTCACCTATACCCAGCGCAGACTTCTTTCAAAGAACCACTTCTCTCTCCTGATTCAATTAGTTTCTATTTTATATTCAGTTTAGTTTCTTAATGTCTGCACTTAATCAACATTGTTCCTAATGTTTTGATTTAGGCTTTCACCATTTTAAGGCTACAAGTGACAGAACCTCAACCTTAAATATTTATTTTTATCTGAAAAAGATTTGTTTCCTACTGCTGCTTAATATTGTACCTTTAAAAATATTTGGGCTGAGGGCTGGAGATTTAGCTTCACAGTATGCCTCACAAGTGCAGGGGGTCCCAAGTTCCTTTTTTTTTTTAACTGCGGTACCAGAGATTGAACTCAGGACCTTTTGCAAGGCAGGCATGGTGCCACTGAGCTAAATACTCGGCCCAGGGTCCTGAGTTTGATCCCTGGTACCAAAAAAACAAAATATTAGGGCCAGGGGTTGGCACAGTGCCTTCCTGGGAAGTGCAAGGTCCTGAGTTTGATCCCCTGTATTAAAAAAAAATGTGTGTGT